TGAACACAGCAGGCTAAGCAGCATCATAGGAGCAGAAAGGCTGATGTTTCGGGCCTAGACCCTTCACTTCTAACTCTTTGTCTTTCTGTGTCCTTGACACTAGGATTGTTTTCTTCCTCTGATTATTCAAAATAATGCAGGTTTTTTTAAATCTGACTGTTATTTCTCCTCCCTCATGCTTGTACCTCTTTCCATTCTTAGCACTGCTTGTAGATGTTGAATATTTCATCAAAATAATGAATGACATGAGATAATTTGATCTATTTTTGGTTCAATCAGAAGGAAACTGTTGGCATGGATGATATATAATTAGGGATATTTTGAGGTTAATTGACATATACAGCAATAGATGGGCAAAGTCACTATGCTGTGAAATGAATTTGGTCAGGTGTGGCGCATGTCGCAATAGTGAGTAATGATTGATGTAGGACTGCTTTAAATATATGGCTTTGCAGTGAACAATGCCTGATATCCATAGGGAGCACAAGCCAAAGAAATTATGATAAGGATTCAGCTCACTAAGAGCAGAAGTAGGACAAATAGGCTGGTACATGTCACAATTCCATGCTATCTTTACACAAAATTACATGTGCCATATCGGAGAATAACAACAGGAGTAGCACTCTGGTGCTTGTTAGCCACAACCACAAGATAATTTCTAATGATGCTAAACTCCAGTAGCTGCCATTATATCTACTACCTGTGCAGTAAGGCATGCATTGTGTCTTTTTCATGCCAGCCTCTGAAATGACTATTTTAACAATTTTATTGATGAATCATGTAACTGTGTAGGCGGGCAATACAACACAAGGGAAAATTACAGCTTAACATTATAGGTGGCACACTCATGTATCAGTTCATGAACGTTAGGTATTCTGAAAATCCCAAAGCAGACCACAGATTCAATATGAGGGGAATTTTCACTACAACAAGAAAATCTTGCTTGGTGAATTAACCGCTTAACCTGGCAATAATATCTATGAGAAATAAAATATACATTTCCAACAATATGCATTTTCATACTCATGATAAATGAATGCCAAAGTTCAGAAATGGGGCATTTGTGTAATTTTGAAATATAATGGCTGTGAATTTGGTGTACGACTTATATGCGGATGCATCTATTCTGGAATGTGAAAATAAGCCTAAACTTAATTTGGATTGACATGTTTCATACCACTATCTCTGGAACATGATGAAAAGTTAGTAGGCAAAGGTTATCTGCCAATTGTGTATTACACGGCTGTAAGTAACAATGGAGAACTGAATATCTAAAGGACTTCAGTTTCTGGAAGCTTTTTTTAAATTTTAAGTGTGGACAGGAGTGTTCACTTCAACACTTCAGTGATTTTTTTCGAAACTGAACTATATGCTATTAGCATATAATTGTGTTGATGGGTTGATACATATTTATGTTTTCAATATGTATAATTAAGGCATCATAAAAATATTCATTTAAATAAATGCCTTTCAGCAAAACTGAATCTCATTCAAATTGCTAACATATTTAGAAGCTAATATCACATGGAAAAATGAACCTAATTGAGTGAATTAATTTCTAAACTGCCTAACCAATCCTTAAGTTAACCTGAAACCTATATTCATAGCCTTTAGAAATGGTTTCTGAATTAGTGTCCAGAATATCAGATGGGAGACTGATACACAAGTCTTATGCCACTGCACTTTGGTTGCTCACATTTTCAGCTCAAAGCTGGGGAGTGTGAGTTCAGTTCCACTCTAGATCTTGAGCACAAGGGTTCTGGTTGACATTAAGTGGGTACTGTATTGCTTTTAGAAACAGACGATTCCAGAGGTGGTCCCATACAACTCCTCCTCACACCTAAACTAAATGGATGCAGAAGATCTCATGGTATAATTTCAAAAAACAGCATTTAAGGATATTATCCCCACTTGCTGGTCAATAATTATTGTTAAATCAACATCCGTGCATAAGACAAGGCTGAAGCATTTGTGACCATCATCATCAAAAGTGCCAAATGCACAATCCTTTCCAGTCTCCATCTGAAGTCCCCAGCATTACAGATGCCATTCTCCAGCCAATTTGATTCATTCTACTCAATGTCAAAGAATGGCTGAAAGCATTTGATGCAGCATAGGCTATGGGTCCTGACAACATTCTGACATTAGCACTTGAGACTTATGCCCCAGAACTAACCATGTCCTTAGGCAAGCTGTTCTACTCTAGTTACAACTTCATCATCCACCCTGTAATATGGAACATTGCCCAGGTCTATCCTGTTCTCAAATCTAACCTGATCCATTTACAGCACCAACAATCTGCTTTCAAACATCAGTAAAGTGATGCAAGGTATTGTTCAAAATGTTATCAAGCAGTACATACTCAGCCCTAACCTGCTGACTCCCATTCAGTGTACATCCTTTAGAACCACTCATCTCCTGACCTCATTTGAGCATTGGTCCAAACATGGTCAAATGAGCTGAATTCAACAGGAAAAGCAAGACCATCTGTCCTTCACATCAAGGTTGTGGTTAACTGAGTACGGCATCGAAAAGCTGTGACATAACTGGAGGCTATTGAGGGCAGTCTCTCCACTGGTTGGAGTGATAACTAGCACACAGGAAAGCACATGTGATTGTTGGAGGTCAATCATCTGTGTCCACTTGTGACTTCTCCGATACAAAAACAAATTCTGCTCATATGCAACAAGACCTTAGCATAATTCAAGCTTGAGCTGGTAACAATTGTGCCTTACAAGTGCCAAACAATGGCCAAGTTCAACAGTAGAGAATCTAATAATCTCCTCTCAAAATTCAATGGTATTACATCACTAAATTCCCAATTATTAACACCCTGGAATTTACCATTGACCAGAAAATTAACTGTATCAGTATTATAAATACTATGGCTACAGTGGCAAGTCAGTGTCTGAAAATTCCATATCAAATAATTATGCTCCTGACTTCTCAAAGCCTGTCCACCATCAACAAGGCACATGTTAGGAGGGTGTTGGAATACTCTCCATTTACCAGGATGAGTGTAAGTCCAATAACACCCAGATATTTAACACCAATTAGAACAAAGTAGGCTGCTTGATTGGCACAGCATTCACCACCTTCAACATACACTGCCTTCACTACCAACACACAGTGACAGAAGTGTGTACCATCTCCTAGATGTACTGCAGCAACTCACCGAGGCCCTTTGAACAGAACTTTCCAAACCCACAACCTCGATCACAATCTAGAAGGGCAAGGGTACCAGATGCATGGGGACACCTCCAAGCCACTCACCATCCTGACTTGGAAATAAGTATGTTGCAGTTCCTTCAGTGTCGCCGGGTCAAAATCCTGGAACACATTGCCTAACATTCTGGTTGTAACTATAGCACATGGTTGATGCTTCTCTTATATTGCACCAGTCACTGCAATTTAATTGCATTTAGTTCATAGATTATAAAGCATTTTGGCACAGCTGGAGGGTCCTTTTATGTAACTGTGAACACCCAGAACATTTTATTTTGGCAACATTCTGCGTGTGGCAGTTGAAACTTTAAATCGAAATTTCCAGCAACAGTTATAGAACACATGGTGTTGCTACTGTCAGTCATTTACCTTGATCTTTATTTTCTTTTCATAGGTTATTATTTGTTTGATCTGAGTTCTTCTCTTGAGCGAAACTACGTCTGAATTATTTCTCTTGCTGGGCTACGAGTCCATTTTTGAAAACTGGGATTACAAACTGCTTTGGGCAGTATTTGCTTGGCCGCCTCAAACGCTGGCGGGATTCTAGACAGACTTTGCAAGCCCTGAGCAGCGCAGCAATAAGAGGACAAGCTGTCACCAACAATGACCTGTGCTCTTTAGCCCGGATGGCTATGACAAGCTGTTAGTACAATTGTCTGGTTAACTGCCAACATGATTGCCTGCTGCTCAGATTAAGATCCACTGTAAATGTAGGTCAAAGTGATTACAAATCGGGAACACAGACACGCACCAGAATCATTTGCTGATCTGTCATTCCAACTGAAGTAATTTTGCCACTAATTCACTTTTAGAAAATTCCTGGTGCACATTTTTGATCCGATAGTATGAATTTCTGGCGGAAATCCCCGGCCAGGATCTGTGTATGCGTGCGCGCCCGCGTGTGTTTTTTTTAAAATCTGAACCTCTACTTTCTGAGTCCAAATGCAAATTACCGAAACATTTCGCCACTTCTAAGCAAGCCTCTGATAGGACCGAGATATCCCAAACTGTTTCGGAAAAGAACGTCCGCACAGAAAAATTTCTCAAAAGCCTTTAACTGAAGCCCGAATGAGGGTGGTGGTTTACTAATATCTGCACTGAATTTAGCTTTATACAAGTGACATCTCCAAAAAAACACTGTACCACAAAGGCAATTAAACGGCCAGCAAACACAATTGCACATTAAATGTTTGACATCATTTGACTGTCATCGTTCATTACTTTACAAGGGTCACTATAGACTTAATTAAAGTCACAGGAACGGAACTTTATAGTAACAATTGTGTCTGACCATATCTAAGGTGATACTTCCAAAGGAACAAAATCTGTGCCGTGCGAGCTCTCTGAGCCCTTTATTATATATCCCTTTCACATTGTGCTAAAACTCTGCAACTCCAGAAAAAAAGTCACCTCCCCCAACATCAAGCAAACAGGAGTCAATAACTGTTTACTCCGCGTTTGTATTCACTGAACATTTTAAATCAGGAAAGCAGGCAATGTGATTTCTCTCTGTCTCCCTCTCCATTTTAATGCGATGCCTTGTTGAATGACACTGGCAAGAAGCAGCTGTGAGCTGTGGGCTGTGGGCACTCTTACCTGGAAAGCGGCCGGACTGTCCCAGAAACAGGTTCAAATCGGGTTGGATCCGCTAGCCAGTTATCTGGGGACCAACGCGAGGTGCAACTGCATTTTTGTTTTGAACGCTGCAAGCGGCGAATCAAACAAACTACGTTATTTGAGAGAGAATGTAGGTGTAACGTTTAAAATTCACTTACCCGCAAGTGCAGCCTGCCAATGAGCAGAGCTGCGCAGGTTCTCGGCGATGTGGATGGGCAAACAGGCAAACGAAGTTTCCTCTCACTTGGCATTTCCCCTCAGACAACAGAATGGTCTCATTTTGACCCAGGCTATCAGTTTCCCAACAGGTCCGGAATTGTACTGACGCTGGCGGTGTGTGGAAGTCAAACACACAATTGCAGGTACTTGCTTTAAAATTAAAAACAAAACGTTTGGAAAGAGCTGATACAAGGCTTTCTCTCCTTCTCAAAACTGTGTTCACAATCCAACAGACTCAAACTGCTCCGGCGACAGTTTCCTCAGATGCTGTCACAGTTTATATTCAATGCGTTTCCTTTCTCCTTTTTATGGTTCCTATAAAATAAAGACGACAGCAGAGACAGAGAGAGAAATACAGACCGGAATACACACTGGAGCTGCAAAACTACTCTTTTCCTGGTGTTCTCTCAGTAATCTCAGATTGCCAGAGGTTTTTTTTTAAAGCAAACGTCTTTTGACTTCTGAATCAGCTCAGAAGCCCTGCCCCCTTCTAACTCGCTTTAATCTGCTCTCGTTGGAAAACTCAGGAGCTCCACCCTAGCGATTTGCATAAAACCTACGCTTCACCACCCCCCCGCCCCCCACCCACCCCTGTCCTCAGTACCATTTAGACCCCCCGTAACTTCTCAGAGGTGAGAACTGCTCTCAGCGGGGCGCCAAGACTGAGCACGTCACTACAACATTTCATTTTAACGCTGCAACGATTTGTGCTATTTTTTCGAACGCGGCCCTACATCGTTTCATGTGCAGCAAACAACTACTCAGGAACATTTTGCTTTGCCAGCGGACCGAATCTCTTTTATTGAAACAAAAAAAGACAAGGTACTGTGGATGCCGGAATCTGAAATAAATAAAAAAAAACATAAACACCTGGAGAAACTGAGCCGTTCTGGCAGCATGTGTGGGAGAAGCAGAGAAGTCTCTCCACGGACTTTGCTGAGTTTCTCCAGCATTCATTTTGTTTCGTTTTGAACCGGTGACAATAAACGGCTGGCAAAAGGAGTGATGAGGAAAGATGAATGGAATCGAGGACACACTCTGGGACAGTTCCTGAATGGAACTGTCCAAGCTATTCAAGCTCATTATGGGAATATGTTAAAAGCATGAGATAAATGATGTGCATTTTACCACTAACGTGTCCTGGACTGGGATTTGATCTGCTTCAGCGCCCACCCAGCACGCCTGCAAACGTTGCATTCTCGCTGGGTTCTGTAGGGAGAACGGCGATCTCGTCTTAGCTAAAGTAAAACCCACCCTGATCTTGAGCATGGGAACTAGAAGTACGACCCTTCCATTAAAAAAAGACAGGCACACTGAGACTGACTCGGTTTACATTCCACATAATGTAGTTTCATAGGTCCATATATGCTTCCTTCTAATCCAGTCATACACTTTAAAAAAAAGTTTATTCTGATTAAAAAAAGCACTTTTAAAAGAAAAATAGCAGACTTAATAGCAGTAAAAAGTAATTCTTTCTTACTATATTTTTGATTTTAACCGTTCGCCGACATACGTGCCAAAACTAAAAGAGAAAGTAGCTAAGGGCTCCTTTGCAGTTGCGCTCCAGGCCAGTTGTACGGACAACTCCCCGTTCTCCAGGTAAACCAGATCCAGTTATTCATGCTGATCACAGACTTCTATAAACACAATGTGTCGGATAAATGCCTAATTCAAATAAACATACTACACATATACAATATCCCTTTCCCCCTCTCCCAGATAAATGTAACACGGACTTTTCCGGGATCAAATCTCTCTTATTTGCTTTGCCAGATGAATTTGCCGCTCTGCTCCTATGATGCTGCTTGGCCTGCTGTGTTCATCCAGCCTTGCACCTTGTTGTCTCGGATTCTCCAGCATCTGCAGTTCCTACTATCTCACACTTTATTTTTCCCCGGCAGACCCAACCGCATTGTGAAATGAATGGTATTACAGCAGGCAGCTAACTGTCTCATTATTTGACACAGGAATGGAATCCTTCTTGGGAGGATTTTCGTGAGTTTATGGATTTGACCACTTCAGTGTGGCCTGATTACTCTAATGACTTCTTTGCCGCGAAAGCAAGCCGGAAACAAGATTTTGAACTGCAGTTCAACACCGCCCTCTCCTGACGGTAAACCATGCAGGAGGAATTCGCAATTAAAGAGTCATGGAGACGTACAACGCGGAAACCGACCCTTCCGTCCAATTCGTCCATGCCTACCAGATATCCCAGATAAATCTTGTTACATTTGCCGGCATTTGGCCCAAATCTCTCCATGCCGTTTCTGTTCATTTACTCGTCCAGATGCCTCTTAAATGTTGTAATGGTATTACCCTCCACCACTTCCCCTGGAAACCTATTCCATACACGCACTACCCTCTAGGTGAAAAAGTTGCCTGATAGGTCCCTTTTAAATCTTTTCCCTCTCACCTTAAACCCATGCCCTCTAGTTTAGGACTCACCCACCTTGAGGAAAAGACCTTGGCTACTCACCCTATCCATGCCCCTCATGATTTTATAAACCTCTGTAAGGTCACTCCTCAGCCTCAGACAGTCGGGGGGAAAAGAGGCCCAGCCTATTCAGCTTCTCCCTATGGCTTTACCGTCCAGCCCTGGCAACATCCTCATAAATCATTTCTGAACCCTTTCTAATTATTTTGTACTTTCCCATTCTGTGTTGCAGGACACCAGTATTTTTCTTGAGCACAAAATCTTATAACATAGCTCCCAAACTGTTTCGCTGCCCATATGGTTTACTGTAGCTGAACATTTCGTTAATAATTAAATAGCCACTTCTCTTCAAGCCTGAAACTATGTCATGCCCAGATCCTAGCATTTATTTAAAAAGTTTTATTTTTGGCAAACATTTTATTAACACATTATCTAAACATACCATGGACATTCAACCTTTCAGTGTATTGATTTGAGGGAGTGTTATTCTCTCTCAGACTGTGGTCTGATCATGAAATACATTTTCAACCTGTTTGGCCATGATTTAACACACCTCTGAAGCAGATGTGATTTGAAGTTGGGCTGCCTCACCTAGATATAGGGAGACTACCTAAAATCCTAATAATGCACATCATAATATTTTCTAATCAACTAACTCACATATGTTATTGCACAGGCACCTCCTAGCTCAGAGTTGGGACACTAACAGCGCACCACAAAAGCCCGAATAACACACATTATAGTTTTTAAAGCATCCTGCTTAGGAGATATTATGATACACCACTGGAGGAGGTTAGATTTGAACCTGGGTCTCCTGGTTCAGAAGGAGGGACACTACCACTGCAAACAAGAGTCCTAGACACGTTACATTCTTTTTCTTATCAACTTGTTCAGAGATGCTATAATAGACATCTGGGGCAGGTGGAACTTGAACCCAGGCCTGTGGGCTCAGAGGGAGGAACACCACCACTGCAGCACAAGAGGGTTCTGAAGCACATTTTTTACACTTGTTTTTATTACATGCCTCTGGAGCAGGTGGGACTTGAACCTGGGCCTCCCGATCCAGAGGTAGGGATACTATCACTGTGCAACACAGTAGAATCTAGTTCTGCTTTTTAAAACAAAACCCTATTTTTCTAATAAACCTGGTAAGAGGTGGCATTATATACCTCTGGAGCAAGTGGGACTTGAACCTAGATTTCCTGTTCCAGGAGGGAGGGACACTTCCACTGCACCACAAGAGCCCCATGCATCATGTTATATTCTGATGCAAATATATGTTCCAGGTGCTCCGACTAATGTAGCTTTGCTCACTTTATCCTACGGTATTTTTTTAAATGATTAAGAGATGGTGAGGCAGCAATTATATCCATAGCTAATGGGAAAATAGTTTGACATGAAAAATGTATGTCTGAACCCAGAGTTGGAAATAAACTGCAAAGATGCCAACATTTGTGAAATATGTTGGCTGTTAGAAAAATTCTTTCTAAACCACAGACCCTGATGTATTGCAGTTGTACAACATCAATTATAACTGTAAACATTGTAGTACAGTTTCTGAGACAACAAGGTGCAGGGCTGGATGAACACAGCAGGCCAAGCAACATCATAGGAGCACAAAGGCTGACGTTTCGGGCCTAGACCCTTCATCAGAAAAGGGGGAGGGGATGGGGGTTCTGAAATAAATAGGGAGAGAGTGGGAGGCGGATAGAAGATGGATAGAGGAGAGGATAGGTGGAGAGGAAACAAACAGGTCGAAGAGGCGGGGATGGAGCCAGTAAAGGTGAGTGTAAGTGGGGAGTTAGGGAGGGGATAGGTCAGTCCAGGGAGGACGGACAGGTCAATGGGGCGGGATGAGGTTAGTCGGTAGGAGATGGGGGTGCGGCTTGAGGTGGGAGGAGGGGATAGGTGGGAGGAAGAACAGGTTAGGGAGGCGGGGGACGAGCTGGACTGGTTTTGGGATGCGGTAGGGGGAGGGGAGATTTTGAAGCTTGTGAAACCGATATTCATTTCAAGCCCACCGACTCCCACAGCTACCTAGAATACTCCTCCCACCCACCTTCCTGCAAAAATGCTATCCCCTATTCCCAATTCCTTTGCCTCCGCCGCATCTGCTCCCAGGATGAGGCATTCCACTCCCGTACATCTCAGTTGTCCTCGTTTTTCAAGGATCGTAACTTCCCCCCCTCAGTGGTCGAGAACGCCCTCAACCGTGTCTCCCACATCTCCCGCAACTCATCCCTCACACCCCGTCCACGCAATAAGAACCAAAAAAGAATCCCCCTCGTCCTCACGTACCACCCCACCAACCTCCGGATCCAACGCATTATCCTCCGACACTTCCGCCATCTGCAATCCGACCCCACCACCAAAGACATCTTTCCCTCCCCACCCTTATCTGCTTTCCGGAGGGACCACTCTCTCCGTGACTCCCTTGTCCGCTCCACACTCCCCTCCAGCCCCACCACACCCGGCACTTTTCCCTGCAACCGCAGGAAGTGCTACACCTGCCCCCACACCTCCCCCC